CAACACCCTCAACTACAACAAGCAGCACACGACACCCACAACAACAATAAACAGCAATAAACAACACACCCAACACCCTCAACTACAACAAGCAGCACACGACACCCACAACAACAATAAACAGCAACAGCTCTTAACATCGCAGTAATGTATATTAATGCATAATATATACTACGGTATGGGACCGTGCCTCGAACTTTGTTATTAGAAATTATTGTCGTTCAACAACAATAAACAGCAACAGCTCTTAACATCGCAGTAATGTATATTAATGCATAATATATACTACGGTATGGGACCGTGCCTCGAACTTTGTTATTAGAAATTATTGTCGTTTAGAGCTAAAATCAATTCAGAAATCTTAAACGAAGTTAATTTCTGCTGTGAAAGCAAATATTCAAATAAATATTCAAATATGAAATGCTTTAACATGTAAAAATGATCATTAGAAAAAGTTTCAAATATTACTGACGTTAATTTTCGTACTCTAGTATTGTAGTCCTGTAACCGAAAAATATGGTTTGAGAGTGAGGCTGTAGTTTTTAAATAGATTTTATACAGCTTTTAAATAACCGCAAGTTGAATTGATACAGCTCAAGCATGTTATGTAGTAAGAGAGGTCAATCAATTAAAGGAAAAAATTGTAGAAAACATGTATCATAACTATGTAAACATCATGGCAAGTTGGCTGCAGAGAAAAAAGAGATTTTATTTTTTTTTTCACAAAATATAATAGCCTGCATACATCTGTTCCCACCCCTACCCCCAAATAACAGCTCAAAATGTATTACTAAATGCATTTTATGAAAAATGGCAATCAAAATAGCGGTTTTCAATATTGCGAAGAGTACTACAGATCTCAGACTAATGCAATCAGACTAGTGCGTCGCCACACAGAGCTCATTTATGAAAGGGGAAATKATAAGCGTAAATAAAAAGCATGTTATATTTGAAGGTTTTCTAATTAAGATATATTTATTTTCCAATCTATGCTGCAACCTCATGAAGTGTTTCTTGGGCTTGCTGTGTACTGCCTAACATTAYCTGACGCCCCTGTTTAATGGCATTCCTAATCCGCTGCCTGGRGTTCTCGAGTTCTCGCTCCTTTTCGATTCTCATTCGTCCCCGTACATCGCAAAACATGGTCAAATTCCTCTTGGAGAAGCATTCAGTCATCTCCAGTAATGACATCTTAGAAATTTCATCKTCTGATGGATCTTCCATTCTTAGAATCTGGAAAAAGGAAAATAACTGTAAAATTATAAAAGAATAGGAAATTTTAAACGACGCCTTTTGTGGCAACAAAGTATGATGGAGGATATTGTCCTTGGCTTTTTCCATGAAACGGTCGCACGGTACTAAATCCATCTTGTTGGATGTCAAAATACCCACTGGGATATTCACAACAAAGAAAAGTCAAGTTTGACGGTCTGCGTTCATTTTGTTTTTGAGGTTGCTTAAGTTCTTTTGCCAATCCAGTATGGCAGATTTATAGAACCATGCACCGTTTCAAAAGGCCTATGTTTTAATCTTCGCTAAGCAGATTTTCCCTGAAATTAAAATATGGGTGTCCATTTACAAAAACGTTACAGCTATATCCACAAGCATTCTTCCAGAGAAAAAAAAATAAAAAATAAAAAAGACGATAAATACAACRTAATGCTTTGCACCAGAAATGTACTCATGCCAGAAAGAGAGCGATGAGAATGAACAATATTAATAGACATTGTTTTATAATATTATTTATTTTTCTTTATTGTACGAGTGAGTCATTAAATCTGTAAATCAAAATTACAGAAATACAGTCTAATAGACACATTAGAAAACAATGCGATTAGAGCGTACTTCTTCTTCTCTTCTTCTTCCTAGTACCCCGTCTCTTTCTAACTAGAAAATCCTTACTTAGGTGCATTAGTGCAATATCTGTAGATTGAAATAAACTAAAACCCATGAAATAGATATTACACTAATGCACGACCTAATTGCATTGTTTTCTTTGTGACTATTTGACTGCCAMACTTTGATAGTCAAATTTTGTTTCACGAGTTTGATGACCTCRATCGGTGTGCCGGACCTTTCTGGGTACTGACGGAAAAACTGATCTCCCGGCCCATTATCGATCGTGAATAACAGACAGAAAACAAAATAAAAAAGACGTAAGGTGCAGAATGCTATTTATACCATGGTAAAAAATGGAAAGAATGGAATATCAGTTTGGCTGTGTTGGCTGTGTAAGAAGGAACCAAAGCGAGCGAGCGAAATAACAATACCTATTCCAAAAGTGAAAAAATGTATCGTTTTCCTTGTGACTAGAATACTCGACCAACTATTAAGCCTTAGAATAAAATGTTGTGCATATCTTTACTTACCTATAACTTTGTTAGTCAAGTTGATACATAAGAGCAGAATTTCCTGGACAAAAGAAGGACCAACACAGATGTTTTGGCAAGATGTGCAGTTTTTGGTGCGGTATAGGATTTGATTGGAAAAAGTAAGAAAATGGCAAATGCAATGCCATTGGTCCAAAGAAACAATGACGTTAACACCGAGTGGACGTGCGGCATGCGTCATGTAAAATCGCAGTGAATTRATTTTAATTCTGAATAATTAAGTTTAAATTCCAACGATAACCAAGGTCGGCATGTCATTTTAATGAAATTTGAAGGGGACTACGAAATATTAACCTTGGAAAAAAACAACAAGGAAAACATCCCTAATAATCAAAATGTTAAATAATTTGTGAATCATTTGTACTTGCCGCAGTTCCTAGGCAACCRATAAATATTTACCTTTTGACGTACTAAATTGCCTAGGTGACCTTAGTTACTACTTGACAACCAGTCGTATTTGGTTGCTAAGCACTTGAAAATTATTTATTTTTTGATGTTATTTTACCCGGTGAACTCCACCGAGAGAGAGAGAGACAACAACATCAAAATCAACAACAACAACAACAGCAACAACAACAACAGCAGCAAAACAAAAACAATGAAACCAACAGAAACAAAAAGAGCAACAGATTTATTTGAAAATAATATCAAATGATTGAATGTTCTTTATTTTTAGATTTATACCGTTTTTATTTTGCCCCTTAATCATATATTATGACCTTAAAAGACTTGATGCAATCCATTAGTCAAGCTTTAACGCAATGATTATATATCATACATATATCGACATATATAATGACTTAAAAATCAAAAAATGAATTATATATATCTCATCTAGACTAACATTAAATGTAATTTTTCTTAAACATCAAATTGAATTAATTAACTAGTGTGACCTTATAAAAATGTTATTTTTTTTTCTCAAATGTTAAATAAATTCAACAATCAACTTCAAAAGTGTACAAAAAATTATGTCCTCTAGTTTTGAACACTTTCAACATGTATGAAGCTTTTTAAAAATAGAGGAGTCAGAGAGTCTTGCGGAAATAGGGTGCAACATTAMGTTAGATCTGTATTCTCAGTGATTGCAGTTGTAGTTTAATATGATGAAAAATTTATCTAAAGCTGAAAACAAATCCTATCTTCTGTCTTATCTTGCTGATATCAAATTATAACGAAATTTTCGATTCCATATCCTTGTCAATCCCTGGATAACTTAGTGATCAAGACTAAGGTATTTAAGACATCGATCCTGATTTCAAAGATTACACTCTGATCCCCGARCCCATCCATAAAATGACRAAAATGTGATCACACTGAACCCAAAAATAACGCTGATCCCATATACGTTSCTGTCCGGGCCTTTTTTGTGGAAGAGGAAGATTAAGATACGGTGCATGCACGAATTGCTTGATCACGATGAGACACTTGTTGATTAATCATGCTGATAATGACCTGGTTATGTAGGCTGATATTAGTCATGTGTGCAACGGAATCCCTTGAGGATATAGTTCTATGCCTTGGGCTGGTGGAACGAATATGAAATAATTCTCTCTACATYTCCAATATTCAACTACCCGAAAGTTAATGCATGGATATAGAAATCAGGAAAACTGGGTATCATATTCATTTGATGTTGTGAAAAAAAAGCAACAAAAATGTAGCGATAAAAACTTCGTCTACGGTCTGTTGAACTATATGTCGGCTTCGAAATTACTCCACAGAACTAAGAAAATTTAAGCGAAATGTCAATGTACACCAACGAGAAACTCATACAACTGCATATATCTAGTTATTCCTTTTTTTTCCAATCAGATCAGTCTCAGATCAAAATTAATCACCATATATTCTTCCATGAACCACCATTTTGGCAGGTTCTTTGACCTTCCATGAACCGGCTCACTGACAACGTTTCCTTTAAAGGGTTTTGTATATACAGACAGTCTGTTGATCAGCATCGTCTCGCTCATACGCGACTACACCATAATTGCCAATATGAATGAAAATCTTTTTCACTTTAGAACATGCATCAACTTTTGTTATCATTGTTAAAAACCCAAGTGGCATGCACCAGCCGTAGCAATTTGTCTGTCTGTCTGATTGCTACCCGGTTGTCTAGCTTCATAGGGTTGAGACCAACCAGCTAGCGACCAGGTTCAATAAATCAAAAGGAGGGTATATATGGACATATAATGCTATACACAAACTTAATATCGAAGAATAATTTTTCACGGTGCTCAACTTTAAAGGAGCAATTTATACATAAAATATTGAGCTAAATGTTTTGTGCCTAGGATCCATTGATTTATTGTCACAGACCTGTTTTGGACATATAATATATATAGTTTACCGCTAGTTTCCGCCATTTGGAATATATAGACAATTGTGAATACTACTCTTGGATTTTGACATTAGTTTAATAGCCATGCAGCGACGCCATTTTGTGCAGACAAAGGATGATGGTAGTTGTATTCCTCTTAATTTTTAATGTCCGCTAAAACAGTCCTCCTAACCAGTCCTCCTAACCAGTCCTCCTAACCAGTCCTCCTAACCAGTTTTTGCTTTATCTAAGCGAAAATAAAAGTATTTAAGTTTCTAAAAAGAAAATGTAGAAACGGCTTTTATGAAAATATTTTAGGGGTTTTGAAAAGTGCGACTACAACTACGATCATGCTTTGCTGCACAAAATGCTTGCGATGAAACGCACTTCGACGGATCGTTTATAGACTATTATGGGCTATTATTATAACGCCATTAGGAGGTAACCATTTCAGTAGCTTTTGAGGGGGTGTGGAAGGGGGAAGGGGGAAGGATAGCCTGTGAAATATTTTTTTTTGTTTGCGGACTGAGTCGACTTTTTTCCTCCTCGATGCTGTGCAGGGTATTTTTATTTCCACTGACTTTTTTTTCTTTCTATTACTAAGCAGGCTTTCAATATCCGTGAAACATACTGTAAGAAGTTGCTCAAAATTGGATTATTAAACAATAGAAGATAAAGGATTTCACACTAATTTGCCTAATTTAGTTTGCAAACCTTTTCATGGATATATTGAAAGAACTCTAAAYCACATTGCTGAGATGTGTTGTTTCTAATCAGGAGTATTAAACCGAGGACAAATGCAAGCAGCTCGCATCTTAACAGTTATTCATCATATTCATTTTCTTATTACAAGGCAATATGTCATTTTAGCGTTTTTTATAGTATTTTAATAAATAGTCCAACTTTAGCCATGAAGTGCAAGGGTCCTTGGAGTGGAAGCGGAAAGAATTAGTGGTCTGTAAACGAYCGAGCTGAATGCATGAAATACGTCAATAAAACTCATTAAGTCCTGGTTCATTTATTTTAAAGATCTGTACTTTATATTATTCTTTTTATAGAAAGTGTACAATACTARCATTAACCGTAAATAGTCAATGATAGCAAGGTCTCTTCACAGAGAAACTGTATAAATAAAGCGACTATTGTCAGTTAGCTTTAGTTAGGGTCCTAGACTTTGACACAAAGCATCAAGATGTCGTCCAAGTTCCTTCTACTTTGTCTTTTTGGATTGCTTGCTTTAGCGTTGGCTGTTCCTGATGCCGTTGAAGAAAAGGCATCGGATGATACCGCYGACGAACAAGAACCTGCTGACATTCCTCAGTCCTCTGATGAACAAACCGAGGATGAACCCGAAGAATCGGACGCTGCGGATGAAAAAGAAGGTGACTTCTAAAGACCAATTCTGTTTTCTTTCTTTATTACTTGCTGCCTTTATTTGCCATTTTGATTTTTTTTAACTATATAAATACTCGATTTCTCCTGATAATTCTTGGCTGTAAGTCTCTAATATTTCACCCTTCCTTTAGCTAAACTTCATGATGCTCTATAGCTAAGGACTGCAGGGATGGTATAGGCAATGTTGAGTAAATGTATAGCTTTGTCGTTATTACYTTCCTCAGTTTTATTCGAAAATAGTTTTTTTTTTGTCCACTGAGAGAGATCGAGAAGTTCATTACTCATGTAAACGATGTTTCATTTTGAGTGCAATGTAATCAGATTCACAAAGTAACGAAGTATTTCTTTCTCTCAATTATTAACAGATCAGCCGGAGCCGAAGGAGTTAGCTGAGACTGACAACCAAGACGAGAATGCCAACGGTACCTTGTTTGATTTTCACATGCAATTAAAAATAGCTTTAATAAAGCTGAAATAAGAGATTGAATCAATAGCTACCAATCACATAAATATTTGTGACACAATTCTATACGAATCATGTTTTGGAGTATTGGGCTCTTGCAGTGTATGAATTAGTCCATTTTTTTCTTATTGTTTTCTTATTGATGTTGTAATTGTGATTACACTCTCTTGTTGTTCATTGGAATATTGTTTTTATTTATTTTTGTGATAAACGCGACGAATAAACGAAGTTCTACATTTATGTATATTTATAAAACTTTTAGTGTTTTAACACTAAAAAAAACCTTAAAAGTTTAGTCATTTCTGTGTTACACTTTATAACTACAAACTATTCGCATTTCGTTTTTTGGAACATATTTCTGTGGATACTAATTGTTGCCAACTTTATTATAACTTAGACCCAGCTCGTAGGTMCCTGCGTCGTAGATGGTTGATATTCTGCACCTACTGGCTCAGATACAAACATTGTCGCCACTTCTGCGTCATCCACGTTTCGTTCTGGGGGAGAAGATTCATCAGAAGAAGACGTTGCCATCGATTGTGCTGTGACCGTTTGCGAAGAATCCGGTACGTGTGTGCGATTTGCTATAGATATTGCTACCGCTACGGGCGCTTTTGGAAAAGATGCTACACTAGATGTATCCRCCGTCGTCGTGGCTAGACCGGCTCTTGGAATGGCAAGTGGAAACGAACAACAAACTCGTTTTTAAGACAAAATTTGACCTCATAAATRAATGATAACTGCTACTGAGCAACTCCTCTTGTAAAACCGCTATGGTCTTAATTAAAATAAAAGCATTTTAAAAAAGAAATCTTTTTTTGTGAATGATGAAAGTCAAGGAATGAGGATCATATCAATAATATGATACCAGAATGCACAACTACATATTGAGCATCGGCAATTAGTAGTTTGATATTGGTTTCAAGGATTGCTGAGTTTATCGAATTAAGTTTGTAAATAGCAAGCTGAAAATATAGCCATTCTTTCCTACATTAGGGGCTGGCCACCTGACTTTCGAGGGAGTATGTATGGATAATTTACTCGATGGAAGATTGTGTTAATTTAATGCTATTTACTGTACAGGATTTTTCCTCTTCTCGACCAGTCTCTGCMGGGTATTTTTTTGTTTCCTTTTTCAACATATTTTTTGTCCCTCACAATAGTGCAGGATTTTTTAAATCAATTTGTGCTGCACGGGTATATTCGATTTGCTCTGCGCACGAAATTAGGTTTTTTCTCATTCAAATGACATCTTAGATAGTCTCTTTCGCAGCCTAACCATTTGTCAGGCTTCCTTTCCCTCCCAGGACGCCGCACCACATGAGTTATAATTATTTATGCATGGAATTCGACTATTTATGTTCTGGCTTCATTACCTATCTCTTAATATTTAATTTTTTTATACAGGAGGTCTATTAGGGGGGTCATCATACCGTAAATCCGCTCATAAAAGTGTATTGAAAAAAACCGCCCTGAAGAATCGGCAAATCTGCAACCGACTGTTATATTCACAACCGTAAAAAGCCACAAAAATGAGAGTAACACCGAAAACCGACGACTAAAATCAGAAAAAAACGTCAAACCGCCAACCTATAATACGCCCCTATAGATAGTGCTCAATATTCACCGCACAATATATAATGTTTTCATGTGATGATTCACCCTTCCTAGATACAAAGTCTTTGACATATGACACTTTAGCCATATCAGTAGGGTGACGGATTTTCGGACCATAGAAATTCAAAACAATACTCGTGCAATTTKGTAGTCATTCGCTTTCTTTACAGTCTTGAAATCGCAAAACCCGCTGGAGACATTGCACATGCCCACGCACTACCAGCGCACAGTTTTAACCATTCGCCAAAATAGCCGTAAAAAGAAAGAACAAGAGTGTTGATTAAATAACGTCATCTACTCTAAAATGCAAATGAATTGTTATTAAAGACATAAAAAAGACATTTTAACAAAAAGGATATCTCTGCAAAATGAAATAGCGAATGCCAGCTGGCGAAACATAGGTCTTCATTACGCTATAGTCGTCCCCAGAGCACTTCGTTCATCAGTTTTCACTTGGATCAGACTGATAACCGAGGTGCCCTTGGGACGAGTATGTCATAATGTTCAAGTACTTTTTTGAGTATAAATAACTGGAAACGAATCCTGGTAGTGCGCGACAACATCTTGCAATCCGTTATTCGAACTATTTTAAGACGTATAGCTAGTGTTGTCAGGGATTGTTAGCTTTAGTTTAAACTTTGCTTTACTTTTTATTGTCAATACGATATATAAACATTGTTATTGCTTTCGAGATTCCAGATGAATTCGCCAATACGACTCAATTAAAAAAAACAACACTTAAGCACTTCAAAAAGTGCTCAATTAAGGTACAAATAGATGTTCTAACTGGTCTACATCTATAATTCATGTGGAAGGCTCTCGCTTATGWGCAAACGTGCTTGAAGATAGTATACGGAAGTTTCCTACATGGGATCTCATCAACATTTTTCCTATGTGAATGTGATGTTTATTCAATGTAAACAAAAAAAAAAAAACGATATGAGATGAAGTCTTGTCGGTATCAATAAGAGAGCAGACGCAAAACATATATTCCATTTTTTTTCGAACGAGCATAATGATTGGWCGAAACGACAACAMAGCGCGRATTCTGACCAATCAGAGAWCTCGTAAGAAGGAATGGCGTCAYCTKMGTGTGTGTGTACTTTAATAACAACGGCTCTTGACCAATCCGAGCGCGCGTAATATACYAAATATTATAYAATTACTTATAGATYGTTCTAGTGGAGTGARATGATMTTATGTGGGAGATATATAAAAYTGAAAATAATGACRATATTCCTTAATGAAAAACGGAAGGACAAACAAGATTACTTCATCTTTTTGAAAGGATATGATATATTTTAAAAAAACATTAAAAGTAGTTTATGATTTTTGCTATTATGATATTTGTACTGTTAGATCATGTGACCGCATCTCTCCTATCTCTCTATATCAGGAACCTATTTTATTCAGGGAATCKTTCTTGAGAATTGTTTAGAAAACAAACATTCACCGACCAAAATTCAAACTGTTTTTACTGTACTTGGTCACTTGAAATTCACCTTCTTTCGCAATATACATGATATATTATGTGATGTAGAAATTTTTCATTTAAAATTTTTAAGATTTCTTATCAGCTATCGAGTTTTTTTTGAGCTAACTGTTTGATTTTATGGGAGATTCAGGGCAACATGACCCACTAGTGCAAGATATCCCATTATATCAATAATATTTTTCTCGAAGTATGGAACACTGTGTTCAGTGATGATAAGAGGGATAACAGCCTGGTTTGACTATCTTATGTGCTAGATGGTTATGATTCCAAATGCTAACCACAGCTTCACGATTACTGACACACTGCAGTAGTTTCATAGTTTTGATTTAAAAACGCTGTGTGATCTATTGACTCTCAATACGTTTGCAAGATAACCAAGGGATCTTCTTCTTGGTTTGAACTTGAGCTCTAAACCTTAGCAGTCGTCTCTTTCATAAATATTTTAGTCATAATAACTATAATATTAAGATTTATTTAACAATTATAAAACATAAATTAATATAAAAAATAATAATAAATATAGCATAATCACGTGAGACAGCTGTATCACGTGGTTTAAACTGATCACTCAAAAACATTTTGCGGTAATAATTATATAACATCAAATATTAATTAGCTTGAGATGTAAATAAAACAACCACAGAAGAAAAGTAAAAGTCATTAGTGGAAGGCTCCCACGGCGGATCCCAACTGTTTTTCAAATGACATCTCTTCACGAATGTTCGACTATAATCTAATTTCCTTGAAGTTTCACTTGAGCGTCTTTCCTGAAAGAATTTGGCCAAATATTTGTTTGGGACATTGCGGAAGGCATGTCTTTGTATAAGGTATGAAATCCATGTTATAATATACATTTGATTTGGCTATTAGATTATAGTTCGTAAYCTTGCCTATGAAAGCCAAGTCAAAGCCAAAATATTTAGATTAATGATAGCGAAATAATATAGTAAATTTGACGAAGAAATGAAAACAACATGTCTTTCAGAACAAGAAACAGAAAGTAGAAAAGTTAAAAAAACGAATTTTTGACACACACCTTGCTAATTACAAAACGATGTCACAGCCGAAAAGAATATTTGCACTTTTGCAAAGAGAACGAATAAATTGAAAACAGGAAGCGTTCATCCTGAGTTGTCGTCTTTTACCTTTTTATATTTCTTCATTTTCATTAAAGTACAGATGTTCTTTGTCCTACGACATCACTTTTTGCAATTAGGAGTATATATATGTAAGAATTTAATATCAAAAATAACAATTATTATTCTGAAAAGCGATGTTGTCGTGGTAATTRAGCGTGGATAAGCGTAGAGAATGGCGTCGGTCGATAAAAGTGAAAATTGACGTCAATAAATGTTTTACCTTTYAAATTTACACCTCACTACAAAATGTTCTTCCAAAGAAGTAGAAAATTTGTAATTTAGTGCAAAAGGAAAATTTAAAACGACAGCGAAAAGAGTGAGTTATTTTATTTTGTCTTTTGGTTTATATTTATGAAAGTTCCATTTGTCTAATTTTTGAGTTTTTGTAAAAGGCTACATGCTTTTATTTCAAAGTGARGAATTAATCAAGGTCTTTTTGTTGTTTATTAATTTTTATAGTAAATATTTTAAAGAAGGAAAAAAATCTATGTACAGAAAATCGAATTGTAACTTTTAGTTATTTCGGTTGTTATTTGATAAATYAAAAGGCGTTTTTGTTAAACAAGATGCATTTAATGCATTTAACCGTTCTTAATCCTACACCACCCTCTTCACATTGTCTTCCATGCCATCAAGCTAAAATCGCCTCAAGTTTCCCACTWAGGTTCCTTTTCTGCTAGGCACGCTATTCACAGCTGATCGATCTTAGATGTGATGTGTTCAATGCTTCTAATTGATTTATGATAATCCGATAGAGTTTTGTGTAGGCGGGAGCTAATGTCGTTACGATCGCATCTTGACATGAAAAACACCATAATGTAATTTAGTTTTCTAGAAAGCAGTCTCATTTTCACGGCGTTCTATTCGGCGTTTAGATCCAATACATTGTCTCACACCAGGCACTAATAGATTACAACTAATAGATTTATGCTGTTCCGTTGTTTGCACTGTTTGCTCTTGTTCGCGTCGTGCAGCGTATGATACCAGATTTCTTCTAAAATGGCAGCTGATGCTCAGTGAGAATACAAATATTACGAGATGCAGAGGACCTTTTAAGGAGAGTAGTGACCGCAATGATACATCAAGGGCGGGCCCCCGGGGGATGATTAGGGTGGCTAACCAGCCCCCCCTTTTCAGGCTACTTTTTAAAAGATATATTCAATAATATATTACATAGATTTATAGCGGAAAATGATATGAACGCTGGTTTAGTTGTTTTCATATTATAGCTCAATTCAGGAGACCATTACTAGGAGCCTTCCTCTTCTTATTGTTGCGCTATTTTTAAAATTGCTCATTATAAATTCAGCGCAATGCTCATGATGAGTTTTAAGCTTTATTGCAAAATAGTTGTTGTGAAAGCGATAATTTCTTCACTTCTGAAATAAAATTCACTCTAAAGAAGACAACTCGGCATCTCTATAAGCGCGAGCGGGGAATGGCGGGAAAATCTAAAAATAGCACCAAGAGGGGTAAATGCCGTTCTACAACCCCATTCATAGAGGAGGGCTCCTAGTAATGGGCTCCTGCTCAATTCTAACATGCGCGCTGATTGACGGA